GTGGCGTCGGAATGCATGTTTAGCACCGGTGCCGATTCTGATTCATTTAGGAGTTCATTGACTCCTAAATGTGTGCAAGCTCTTATTGTGTTCAAGATTGGCTTAGAGAAGAGAAGAATCCTATTAGTGTTGAAGAAGACTTGAAGTATCTTGAGGAACTCGAGCTTGGTAAGCTTTAATATTTTGTGTGTATTTTAGTTCAAAATAATATATCATACTTGTTTATTTGTATGACATATTTGGTCGAATTATCTTTAGATATGAAAAATAATGGAAGCACTACTAGCATTGTTTGATGTATAGTTGCAACTTGCAACTTGAGTGGTAAGTTTAATACTCTATTTGTTTGGTGATATACTTTTGTAGTTTTGTTTTATTATCATCAAAATATAATATTTTAACTTATGATTTATATTTTTTTTAGGTTCAAGTGCAATCATGCCCCGTGCTCCTAAAGTACGCTCTGATATTTGGGAGCACTTTGAGGTGAAAGAAGATAATGGAGAAGTTCGCAAAGTAGAGTGCAAGCATTGTGGTCAAGTCTATAATGTTCATCCAAAGTGGCATGGAACATCTGGTTTAAGGAACCATATTAGGCGTTGTCTTGAGCTTCTTCCTGGAATCCGTATTTAAGAACTAAGACTAAGTTGATTCGAGACTATTAGTGTAAACTTGAATTGAGGGATGCCCTCTCTGTTTTTGTTGCACTGTGTTTAATTCTGTTTCTACTGTTAGAGTCTGCTGCTACTGTTGCACTGTTAATACTAAGTTATTTCTGATGTGACTGTTGCACTGTTGCACTGTTGGAGTCTCTGTTTTTGTTTAATTCTGCTGCACTGTGTTAAACTTGAATTGTGGTTATTTGTGAGTTAGGTAGAATTGGCAGATTTGAATTGTGGTTATTTGTGAGTTAGGAAGAATTGGCAGCTTTGAATTGTGCAATGTGCACTTTGAATTGGCAGCTTTGAGGTTTGAATTGTGCACTGTGAAGATGTTGCACTCGTTAATCATTGAGTACAGTGCATTGTTGTACAAAATTATGCACTCGTTAATCGTTATTGCACTTGCTTTAGAGTTTGAATTGTGCACTTGCACACTTTCACTCGTTAGTGTTGCCTTGAATTGTGCAATGTTGCTTACTGTTTAGTATTGAAATTAGCGTTTATTGTCACTCATTAGCATTGCTTATTTAGCGATTATTAAACTGAAACCGTACTGAACCAAAATAAGAAATACCGAACCGTACCGAAATACTTTGGTACGGTATTTGGTATACACAATTGATAAATCGAATACCGAAGTACCGAACCTAAATTATTAAATACCGAACCGAAATACCAAATGCCCACCCCTAATTACTTCCAGTGTATCAGCTTCTCTTTGAATTGGTCAATAAGGTTCTTTTACCTCGTGCTGAGATGAGGTCTATTGCTTCCAAGTCTGATCTGGTCTTAATGGAGGCTCTTGATGAGTTCACACCGGTAAATCTGCCGGCATTTATGATAGACCACATGCAAAAGGTGGCAAACTTTCAAGATGGGAATCACGGACTTCCATATGGCTTTCTCCTCACTCGACTGTTCCAGTTTTACAAGGTACCCTTGACCACTCCAAAAGTTGGCACCCACAAGCAAACCTTCTCCAAAACCACTCTAGAAGAGTGTAAGTGTGTAGACAAAGTTGGGGGCAACACTTCAATAATTTCTCAGCTGATAAATTATCAGAATGCTGCTACTGAAGAAATCAAAAGGTTGAAGGCTCAGAATGGCATCCTGGGAACTCAGCTCAGTCAAGCTGTTGAAGCACCTGGTTCTGTTAATTCTTCCCATGAAGAAGTTGCCTGCTTGACTAAGGAGAATGCTGAGCTTAGGCAACAGGTGGCGAACCTGCGGGAGAAACTGCTTGAGGAACAGCTGTCTGCAAATGCCCGCATGGACCTGGTTCTCAAATCCATTGCCTCCTCCTCCTCCAAGCCTTCTTCTTCTAGTGCCCCCTAGGATCCTCTCAGTGGCCAGTTGTCTTATGTTTTGATGTTTTGTGGCTGTTGTTTTCTTTTTTTTTTTTTGTGTTGGCATGTTGGATTCCACCGTTACTGCTCCCGTTGAAACAGTCCAATTTAGTTTCTTTTGCAAAAATTATTAGCCATGAAACAACCCTTCTTTTGCTAGTACAATGCTTGTTTTACTTATGCTTCTCTTTTCTATCATGTTGTATGCACATATATGGCATGAGTTAGCTATGTTGGACTTCTTTATGTTGTTTTGCCTGGATGTGTCTTTGTAATGATGCCAAAAGGGGGAAGAGTTGGTTAACTGAAAAATTAAAGCAGGTTAAGGGGGAAGCATAGAGTCAGAGGGAATATATGAGGTTACTGGTACTTTATCTGGTTACGTCAAGCTCTATAAATAGTTATCAATTTTAAAAGTTTGTCATCATCAAAAAGGGGGAAATTGATAGGCTTAAGGTCTCTTAGTCTTATGTTTTGATGATCTAGCAAACTTTCTGTATAGAACCAGATAAAGGACCTGATGCATGCATGATACAATCATTCAGCAATGGACTCAAGATAATCTAGGCAGTATGCCTTTGGATTCACAAGAACCAGTTTAGGGACCTGATCCCTTGGTGTTTCTCTGACAGAAGTACAAGTGAACTCTACAGCTGGAAAGCAACTGCAGAAAGTGGCTGCCTGCAACTATGCACGCTACAGTGCAGCAGTCATTTCCCATTGGGAAGAGGTGTGTACCAACCAGGAATAGACATCATCCTTGGGATGTCTTTTGAAGTATAAGAACATGATGTAAGGCAAAAAATATTCACTTGAGCATTTAGTGATATTCTCTCAAGCATTGAAGATCTGATCCGGCATTGAAGTCACAAGTGTGTCAAGAACAAGAAGACAACTCCACTACGGACCAGTTCCTCTAAGAGTCTATGTGTGTCCTTAGTAGAGTTGTAATCTTGTTTTTCTGTTCTTCATTGTAATTCCTATCTTGCTTTCTAGAAGCTTTTTTTTAGGAAACTCAAAATCATAAACCATCTGAGTTTGTGTTATGACTAGAGTTAGTCATAGGTTGAAGTCTTTGTAACTAGTGAGTGACAAAGTGGCTTGTGATAAGTGTATTACAAGTTAGAGCGATTGAAGTCTTTGTAATAGAGTCATTACAAAGTGGCTTGTAATAGTGTAGTTACAAGTTAGTGAAGTTGAAATCCTACCACTGTAGGTCGTGGTTTTTGTCCCTTTTAGTTGGGATTTTTCCACGTAAAAATCATGTGTCTTATTTACATATTGGTTCAGTAGTTAGCACTGAGGGAACTGATATAGGACCAGGTCTCTATTCAGTTGGTGGACTCATATAAACTATTAGATACCTTGTAGGAGCCCCCAGATAATGTCAATCCAGTTTTCAGAGTAGCCAAATTTTCTCATAACTGCCATCAGAAAGGTCCAGGAAATTCTATCATATGCTTTTGCCATGTCGAGTTTTATTATAACATTACCTCCTCTGTTCTTCTTGTTCACACCTTGAGCAATCTCCTGTGCTTGCAAAATGTTTTCAGTGATCAATCTTCCTTTCACAAAACCACTCTGATTTTCTGAAATAAGCTTCCCTAGAATAGGATTTAGCCTTCTGGAAAGGATCTTGGAGATAATCTTGGCCGTAAACTTACTCAAACTAATAGGTCTCAAATTCGAGAAACTACTAGGAGAGTCCACTTTAGGAATAAGAACTAAGCAAGTATGAGAGAAGAATTTAGTGAGCCTCCTACAATTGAAGACTGCTTGAACAAAATCAGTAATATCCTCCTTAATGATATCCCAGCAGGTTTGGAAGAATTTCCCACTATACCCTTCCGGCCCAGTTGCACTAGTAGAACTCATGTTGAAAACATCATCTCTAATCTCTTCAGTATCAGGTGTGGCTGTGAGGATTTCATTGTCATCACCAATTACACATTGGGGGATACCATTGATGATATTTTGATCATTGAAGTGGTGATTGATGTTAAAGAATTGTTGAAAATGCAGGACAACTGTCTTGCCAATGTTAGAATCACCCTCAATCCAGTGTCCTCTGTGGTCTTTAATTTTTTGAATTTGGAGCCTTCTCCTTCTATCCCTGATAGTGCTATGAAAGTACTTAGTGTTAGCATCACCTTCTTCGAACCAGTTCACTCTAGCTTTCTGCTTGAGAATGTCATCCTGCATCCCCATCCATCTAATGTATTCAGCCTGGCCTTTATTTAATTCAGTCCTGGTGATGTCATTATTGTTCTTGAGATCACTCTGTTCAAGGTCCTTCATTTTGTTTTCCCAATAGTGAACTTGATCAAACACATTGCCAATGTCTTCTTTAGACCATTGAGTCAGCCTTCTGCTCAACATTTTAAGCTTTTGTTGAAGTCTCCACAGAGGGTTTCCATTAACATGATTCCTCCAGACTTCTTCAACTACCTGCAAAAAAGATGGTTGGTTAGTCCAGAAATTTAGAAATTTGAAATATTTAGGCCCCTGTTGGTTAGTGTCATGGCATTGAATTAGGATAGGTCTATGATAAGAGCCAATCCTAGCCAAATGGTTGACAATATTGTTTAGAAAAATCTAGGACCATTCATCATTGATAAACACTCTATCTAATCTCTTCCATATTCTTCTTCTTGCTTCCCAATTGCTGCACCATGTGTATTTTGGCCCAACAAAATCCAAGTCCATCATTCCACAGTTATCTATGCACGTACTGAATTCCAGACTTTTATTCATTCTGTGAGGTCTGCCACCTTTTTTCTCATCAGGGTCTAGGATGACATTGAAGTCACCCCCAATGCACCATGGACCATTCACCTGAAGATTTGTTAGTTCTAAACTACTCCACAACTCTCTCCTTTCTTTCGGAGTGCATTTAGCATACAATGCTGTAATATAGAGATCACTATTAGCAGCCCTATAATGCAATTTGATAGTAAGTTGTTACTCGTGATGCTCAGAACAATAGTCATGTTGTTGCCTGACCACATGATCTAAATCTGACCGTTTGAATTAGAAATACAATGTTGATATCCAAGGAATCTCCTGCACCTTTCAATTTGATTGATACTGACAAAAGGTTCCATAATAGCAATAAGTTCCACCTTATAGATGGAAATCAATTTTTTTAGCCTTGGTAAAGCTTTTTTGGTATTTACTCCCCTAATGTTCCAAAATATAGCATTTATCATGGAAACAATAATCAGGTTAGCATGAGTGTCCTCCTTTAGGAGGTGTAGTATCTTTGCTCTTGTTCTTTTTTCCCTTTTTCCTCCTCTTATCTTTGCCACCTATGATCTGAAAGGGTTCCTCCTTCGAATCTGTTTGAAGCTGATCTTCAAGAGCCATAACTGTCACTCTATTAGGGGAAGTTACTTCAATTTGTTGGCAAGTAACGTATTTGTCTTGTTTTGGTTTGGATTCCATAATAAGATCAACTACCACATCAATCCCAGGAAGGTTTTTAATTTCTGAAGGCACACTGGTTGATCATTGACATAGTCATTCATGTTTAGAGCTTTCTTTTCCTTTTTTCTATTTTCCAGATCTTCATTTTCATTTTTGACTATCATTATCATGAATCGACTCCTGCTGATCCTCTTTGGTATCACTGTTACTGTTATAGTCATTATGTTCCTGCTTGCTTGAATTTGAACTTGAGGGAGCCTTATTATTAACAGCTCCACCTTGATCCCCCCTTTCTATATTCAGTCGACTGCCTTTGAGCACTCACAGCCGCATCAAGATTACTTTCCTGATTCAGGTTTTGTGCAGCCAAAGATATCTCTTTGGTATGCATCTTTCCCTGTTTGCTTGAATTGGTATTAGAGAGAGCCTTATTGTTAGTAGCTCCAACTTGATCTCCCTTTCTAGAATCAGTTGACTGATTTTGAACACTCACAGGCATATCCGGATTGTTTTCTTGGTTCAGATTTTGTAAAGCCAAGGTTATCTCTTTGTTATGCATCTTTCTCCTATTAGTGTCATAAGATAGATTGAGAATAGGCTTGAAACTAACTTTAGATTTCTTCTTAGGAAGTATCCTCTGCTTATTATTCTTAGTATTCTTCCTAGATCTCTCCCTGATGTTGTTTGAATATTTTTGCTGGTGATTATCGGATTAATTCCCATTCTTTTGCTCCAATTGATTCTGAGCTATACTATCTCTATCCTGCCCATTGTTGATAGCCTTTCCATTTTCATAAACCTCCTTCTTGTTATTCAAATCTGTGCCTTTGCTTTCAGCATTCTGGTTTGCACCAGAATTTAGAGCATTCAATTCCAATTCTCTGTTGAGCATTGGACCAGCATTCTTCTGATCATTCTGATTTGCACCTGCATTCTGATTTGCAACAGCATTCTTCTGATTTTTATCAAATTTTTGAACGTCCAATTCTCTATTTTCCCCCTTCTGATTTGCACCAGCTTTTTGGTCATCCAATTCTCTGTTTTCAGCAGCCTTTTTCCTTTCTAATGCTCTACAATTGATCATATTGTGTCCAAGTTTTCGACAGAATTTGCAATATTTAGGGACTCCTTCGAATTCAATTTTTTGCACAAAACCTTTTTGAGAAGCATTGTCATATATTTGTCCAACATAAATAGAATTAGGTTGGTCCTTAAGCAAGTCAATTTCAACTCTGACTTTGGCCATACTAGGCCTTGTTCTACCTCTCGTGGCCAAATCCATTTCAAGGGGAGTACCAATTGCACTCACCACTTGTTTAACATAATTCCATGTGTGCATATGAAAAGGTAAACTAGGAAGGAGCACCAATACCGGAGCAATAGTGTTTACCGTGAAAATGGTAACAACAATTAAATTTTTAAATGGGATTCTAAAAATACGTGATCTATTCTCTAGCTAGTTGTTAAAGCAGTTGATGCTAATAATATTAAGTTTAACGATAAAGTGCGAGCTAAAACGAGGCAGTGATCAAACCGAAGGGCCTGATGCCCGGTCGCAGGGCTGATCGATGGGGACCTCGGGGTCCAGGTTCGGGTCGAGATCCAGGTATCGGGGGTAGCCGGGAATGGGATAACAATTAAGGATATGGTTAAGCAAGGCTCTATACGGCCAATTTTGAGCAATATAGTGAAGAACAAGTAAGAGGACGACAAATATTGAGGCGACCTCGGGCCAGTAAGAACAAACAAGTTAGAAAGAAAGAGAGAGAAAGAGATATTATTGCACTTGGAGAAATGGAGCAACCTCTGTCCCTTACAAGGTAGGGTGAGTCCCCTTTATATAGGAGAGGAACACAGTTACAAATGCATGATTATTTAATTTACAAAATACAGCGATGGGATGGCTTGATGTGATGCCTCAGCGTAGGCTCTGACAGGCCGGCGCTGCCAGACTCAGCCGCGTGTCTTGGGAGCTTCCCCTTTTTGTCCTGGCCTCGGCCTTCGTCTGGCCTCGAATCGGGCCTTGACAAGCCCCGAAAGAGAGGGCTAAGTTGTGGCTTCATGTCCTCGGGGTCTCGAGGTACCTCCCGGAGATGGCTTAATGGCGGGAAATCGGGCCCTCTGATTTCACCGAAGTACAGATAGTCTCCGCGTTTCTCAGAATGAAGCGATGGGAAACGATTATGACCATTGACTCCTCGAACTCCTCATGGCGATAGTACACTGGCGATTCGCATCGTAGCGCAATCTTTTGTGATAGATGGCATATCTCATAGACTCATGCTCAATACTCTGTCATTTCCGTTCTTCAAGGTAAAAAGTACTGCTGTCGATTTGGTTTTTCAAGGATGCAATAGTTGCATTTGTCGGTCAGTCTTCCAGAGCCTCGACGACCGTGTTGTTGCCCCCTATAAATGGGGTGCCTTGGCATTGTTTTTCAAAATTCCCACGAGCGGGCCGCTTTTCGGGGGGAATGCCTTCTCGCTTTTTCGACAGCCAACCGTGGGTTTTGTTCTGAATATTTTGTGGAGTTCCCCTCCTGGTGGCTTGCAGATGTTGCCTCGTTAAAAACCTTGCCGGTAAAAACCTTTCTTTTTAGGATAAAAACTCGGTCGAAGGAAAAGAGTGCAACGGGTGCACCTTCGGGGCTTCGGGGTTCTGTCGCAGTACTTACGTCTAGGCAGCTTCCGGTTTGGGTGTCTGCGCGAGGGTTAATCTCGAATTTGAAAAAATAACATAAGAAAAGGAACGGTTGTACCTTAAAGCTACATGTGCAGGCGACGTCTTGGGACTTAGCCTATTATAACTTCCCGGGGGCGGAGATGCATCTTCGAGGGCGGACCGCGCTTCCGGGTTTCATCACATGTACATCCTTCCGTTCCTTCACTCTAGGAGTAGACTCCCGTAGGCTTTCGTATTTGTATGTAAATGACCCCTCGAGGGCTGTTGTACATAGATTTTTATGAATATGAATATAACCCTTTGATTTCTGCTTTCGATTTTTGCTTTATAATTGCATGTTTTCATACCCCTCGGGGCCTCTTGAATGCCTTCTTTTATTTCTTGACTGGTGATATCTGACTTGGGTGCGAGCGCCCTTTCTGCTCCTCTACTAATCGACATGGCTTTCTTTCGAGGCCATCGTTATACCTTAGAGCAATCCTGGATTGATCGGATAGGACCAGGCTGCCGGGGCCCTTCGAATTGTATGACGAATTTGGGGGCCTTCGAGAATGTTATCCTGGGTGAAGGCCAGCTTCGGGTACCGGGGGGTCCCCTTTGATTTTTGACGCGGACAGCTTCCTTCAAGCACGTACGAGATAGATTTTTTGCTGAGGGGTTGCCTATACTCAGGCACTGCTTCGAACCTATGCGGAGCTTTCGCGATTGGAGCTTCTTGTGTGTATTCTTCTTTCTTAGAAACGGAATCACGAAATCTAAAATTACCTCGCGTTGAGTGATGGCGTGGAAAGCTTCCCGAATTCCGATTTCTCTTCGGTGGGGATCCTTGAGGCGGGACGCTATCTCGAGCTTGGAGATAATACGGACGGCTCCTCGAGTCTTGGCTTCTCGTTAAAGGATACTATCGGGGTCGGGAACTATCCCATTGGACTGTACCGATGTCGTAGGCTTCCCGGGGCTTACTCCGGGTAGGCGAATAGTTGTCGCTTCTAGCATATAAGTGGGGCGGCTTCGGCTTCTTTGCAGGACTTCACTATTTTTAGCTAGTTGTACTTCCGCTTTGGCATAGGGTTCCTCATCTCTTCAGGTGCAAAAAGTGCTGGTGCACGCCCTTGCTTTGTTTTGTTAGTTTTACCATAGTCATGGCAACCACTTCGGGGCTGGCATGGCAGAGAGCGGAGAGTGCTGTTCCCGGCGCTCGGGAGCCGAGGGAGTTCGTTCCGAATATGGTATTTTTGATAAGGGGGGAGCATTTGGAGATGGTCAGAAAATACTGCGGATGGAGTGAGGAGATAGCGCCGTAGGTGCTTCCCCCAGGAGGGAGTATCACGGATTCCACTGACGGATTCTTGAGCGTATACCTGTATCCTTTCACGTTTGGCCCCCTTGATAGGGTCATGCTTGATTTTTGCTTGAAGCATCGAGTTACGTTGGCGCAGATACATCCGTCTTTTTGGCGGGTGGTGCTGATGATGAGATGCGGAGAAGGCCGATCTTGAATTTACGCTAGATCACCTCATCCGACTGTATCGGCCTTTTCATCACTAGGGTCTGCTAACCCTGAAGTGTCGTTCATCCACGACCTTTGTTGTCGATGACGAAGAGGAGAAGGGTCGAGAATGGGCTAGTTGGTTCGTCCGGATCCGGACGGTCGACATTATCCCCGTGGAGTTTTTGCCATTTCCCGAAGGGTGGAATTACGCACGTGAGTGGGGCGTCTGGCGTTTTTCAGGTTGTACCTTGTTGAAGCAACTTCATGGACGTCGGGCAAAATTTCTGACCTGTCCGGCTGGGTCTAGAGGCTGGTGACCCACTCGGCCTGCGATGAGCGTCGGTGGCGAGCTGTGCTTCGCGACAGGTGGGGAGCGAAATACCAAGGTATGTGCGCATGCTGCCTTTGCCTTGGCCTTCGTATATTTGAGGTAATATTTTCCCCTTTTTACTTGTACTGGATTTGCCGCTTGCAGGTATCGTGCAGTTCCTTGGGATGAGGCAG